TACCGCAAGCAAGTTGCACAGGCACATGGTTCTTGGGGTGTCCAAAAAGCATTTCAAGCAACTTGTCATCCCTCCCAGCTGTGCTGCTGCTGGCAACAAACCGACATGCCTTAAAGAAGCGCCAAACGTCTTCTCTCTTGACACTAGTCAGCGATACACTGGTCCAGATATCAGCAGCTAAAGCCAGGATTATTCCTTAAAGGACCACATTATTCCTTAAAGGACCAGTGATCCCTGTTATTTACAGTCATTCCTGGATGGGCAGATTTCCTCTGCCTGGTTAGCCTTCACTTTGCAAGGGCAGAATTTTCGTGCAGCTTATCCATACAGGTAGGTCCAGATTTTCTGCAAGGTCTGTCACGCAGAAAAAAACTCTCTGAGGCAAGTCTGGTCACCTACATCGTGATGCTTCTTTATATTCCCACCTCAATAGCCGGTTTTGATCAAGAATAGTATTTCCACTTCCACGTTCATCTCTTGGTAATTAAACTCATGCCATGCTAGGCTGCTGGATGCTCCCAGTTCTAGGGGTTCATTCACATTTTCCCAAAAAGGAGGTGAGAAACAATGAACCAGAACACATTAAATTAGATTTGACGTTCCATTTGGGGTTAGGAATCCCCGGAAGCAGAAGCAAGGTATTCCAACAGTTAATTAACCTCACTCAAAAATCTGCAGCTTGTTTCCAGCTCAAGTTTTTCTACAGTACCTTCTGGCTACTGCAGCTCATTATTCCCTTCCTGGCTAGACTAAAAAGCCCTCTATTATTACACTTCTGCTGCTCCTGTCAGCAGAGACAAATATCTACAACTTCCACTTTGATAGAAGCATTTCCCATTATACAGTGTTTTCCAGTCCCTTCACCGTTTTCATGGCTCTTCTATAAACCCTCCCCCATTTTCAGCATTCGATCCACTGCCACTTTATCAATGCAAGTTTGTTGCTGGGAAAAGCCTTCCCTTTATTTCAGCTACTCATTCCTCCCTCTCTCTCTCTGCCAATTTTAGAGTGCATGTGATGACCCTGAAAAATCCAATTTGATTAGATGAAAGCCAACATGGTATAAAAGAGAGAGGGGGAAAGGCAGGAAAAAAAAAAAAATCATCTAACAATGCTTGCTCCTTCCTCCCTTCCCTCGGTAGGAATTTGCACAGACAAGTATCCCATAGACCCTGTACTGGCTAGCTGTAGGGAAAAAAGCAAACAAGGTCCAGAACATAAAACATCCTCTCTATCTCTCTAGAGACAGCTTCATGGCAAGTACTGTCAGTCAAGCTCCGTAACATTAATAAATAAGCAACAAACTAATCATTTCTTTAACGTCTTACTACATTCAACAGCTCATGAGACTCCATGTACCTTTCATGCTCCAAAAATAGGATTCTGCAGCAATTTGTCCACGCTAATCTAATGTTGAAGGAGAGCTGGGAAGGGCACTGTATGCCTAATGATGCTTCCAATGCAATTTAAAGAAGAGGAAAACAAAATAGGTGAAAGGAATACAACCTTCTGATAAAACAGAGTGGAGATAGTGAGGAGAGATGAGATTAAGAATATTTGTCTGTTCTTGGAATTCATCACCAGTCGAAAATCTAGATGCCTGGCTAAAGAAACCATATTTGGAGCTGGAAAAAGTTTAGCTCTCTAGGGTTAAGCAGGTGATACGTCAGAAAAAGAAAAGTTAAAAATACTTAGCTGGAGTTACAGTGTCAAGAGAAAAAAACAAGCAAACAACAAAACTCCAAGGGAAAAATCTGAATCACTTTTAAGTTCAGCAATTTCCAACAATTCCATAGTTAGGTTTAACTAGTTTTGGCCACAACACACTAACAACAGCCTCCTTTTCTTTTCCTCCTTGATCTCTCACCACCAAGGTTCCCCTTTTCCCAGCCTTTCCTTACTTACCATTACTATCTCTCCTCAAACAAGAGTTCAGCTTGACCAACACACATCCACCCACTGACCAGCTAGCTGGTCTTCCCTCTCCAACCCCTCCACCCTCAGTCATCCTTTGGGCACATTTAGGAATGGCGTTTCCATTTACGCAGGAATGTTCATCAAAGCACTTCACTGGTTAACTTTTTTGAGGGCTGAATTCCAACAACTGACCACCCATTGTCCTAAACACCAAGGGGTGGTAGAGCCTCAGACAAAAATTCCAGCGGTGCTGCCTAAAGGAATGCCCAAAGACCTGCATGAACAGTTCCATTTTCAGCGATGTTAAACAGCCAAATTCTAAACGAAGGCAGCAGGTGTCATGGGAATTTAAATGCCTTATGAACGTGACCACCAATATGTATGAACACGGACCGTAATGCTTTACACTAAGCGCAAATACAAGCTGCTACGTGGCTCACTCCCTGCAAAGCAATCCCTTGTCTATATATAGTGCTTTACGACTTGGCCATGGCGTGCCATCAGCTCAGCAACTAGCCATAATTTACAGTATGCATACTTCATCCGTGAGATTGGAAGCAACAGCCCAGCACCAAGAGGCCTTTATCACCAGCAAGGAGACTTCAGCGAAAGCCCACCACAACAGCTGTTCCCTGTCACGTGTTGGAGAGTGACACAGGGACCCGTCCAAACCGTAAGGTGTCTTCCCGCTGCCAC